CCCTAGTGTTGTGTGAGAAATGTTCATCGTAAATCAGACGTCCGCTTCCGACACCATGCCTATCCAAAATCTAGCGCATCCGTTGTGAAATATTGAAGCACATCGATATTACCCCAAACTGTTTATTTGTGAACTCATACAACATTTTAACATCAAACCACAACATAGTCAAGATGGTTTAGCGAATATATTCAGTCAGTGTCCTCTGTCTCTTCTTTTCCAACTAATCACTGACCACTTTTTCACGGTACATCATTTTCAACGTTTTCGCCGCGGCGGCCACCACGAGGGCCACCATGAAAGTGAAGAAGAAAAATCTCACCCGTTGCCTTATTTATGGTTAATAAATTTAACAACCTGTTAGAATCAGACAGCTTTGCATATCGTTACACGAATATGATTGACTGTTTTGGGAGGTTATTTGCCTGATGTTAATAACCATAAACAAACCCTGGGAGTTTATACCAAAAATTGATAAAATAGGATAAGCCACACACGACACAGTCACTTGTGATGCTTAATTCCTGTCTATGTTTTGAAGAGTATCCTGTGAAAAATGTATTGGTACCGTAGCGCACAAAATACCATCTAGATATTTATGCAATGTCTCCGAACAGACAGAGCAAAAGTGTCAATAACTCTTTGAAGGATGACAGGCAGCCGCGAGATGTTGTCAGCAAATCTGTGAATGTTTGAAGGATGCAAACGGTGCAAATTTAATTTACTTGACAGTATAATTTAATATTGTTGATGTGCTGGCAAAAACATCTATGACTTAATATTAAAAGAATATTCCAACTGGCATGCCCGCGGCAGTATACAGGCACACGATGAAAACATGGGGCTTTGGCCGCGGAATATTTTTAGATGATCTACTATCGCACAAGTGTTATCACGTTTTACCATTCTTGCAAAGAAGGGTATACATATCGCTTGGAAAACCGACTTTTTTCTTCCTTGATTTGTTTTCCGTCGATCTTTTTTTCCGGAAGGAGTACCAATGCTACCAACGCCCAAGTCGGATAATCAATGGTGCCACAGAAGGAAGAAGTGTTAGTTTGTTTACTGACGATTGTATATGGCAAGTTATGCTATAATCAATCCTGCTCGCGAAATTGACATCACTTGCGTAGGAAATCAATTTGGCAAGGCATTCACATTTATTGTTATTTTACTGAAATTCGTTGAGAACTTTTAAAAAAATTTGATTTTCATGGAAAAAAATGCATTTTTCTAGCTTTATACGCTATCACTGGTTATCTATGCAATCCTGAGGCTATGTCCAAAATTTGAGCCAAATAAATGTTAAATTGAGTACTTTATATCGGCGAGGCTCAAACCTTTGTAGACTACTCAAAATAACTTTTTTTTTTCTTTATAACTACTATTATTAAATCAAATATCAAAAATCCATCATCACCATCGTGGTGAACAAAATGGTTTTTGCAGTGCTACAATAGTTATTAAATATTAATATTGCCAGAATTAAAAATACGTAAGAAGGCTCAGATCTCATCATAGGTGGATAAAGTCAGGTTTTTTGTTTGTGATTTATAAGCTTTATAAGAGAAGATTTATGGATTTCTGAGTTCATCGCGACAACAAAATTCAAGCATTCATACTTTGGAAATTATTTACTAAAATTGATAAATAAAAACATCAAAAACGAAGGGAAATTTGACCACATTATGTTCCACATTTTATGTGATTAATAAAAAGTTAATAAGGTACTAAAATAGCTTATAAGGTACCAGCTCGTCTTAATGAATCAGATTAAAAGGATTTTTCTTACCACTTGAACTTTGCCACAGAACAATATATTGAGATTTGTTATTCTAGAACCTTGAGAAAACTTACTGCCAAGCTTGAAAAATCTGGAATTTTTTTCTTCATTTTCTTAAAAATCGCTGGTCACCTCAATCCCATGCCGGATGCAACCGGTTGAGAAATTGTTCAGCGTATACTATTTCTCAACATTCTTCGACTGCCTATAAAATATCATTGCCACAGCAAAAATTGTAAAAAAATCCCAATCAACATTTTTTGTAAAATTTATCCAAAAGCGCTAATTCGGAACATGGTGGAATTTAACGAATGTCTGTGGTGATGTTTCAAGTCCATTATTAGCACATTTACTCTACTCTCTTCCTCATCACTTTTTGCAGTCCTAGTTTTGATAGTTTTAGCAATAATAAATCACAGGAAACAGACCATCAAATTGCATTCTTTGCTAATGATGCTGGCTTAATAAAACGCGTGCACTGATTTGCTCGGGCCAACTTGTAAAATTACTCCGCCGAATGGATGTCTTATTACTTCACACTACTCTCGTAAATAGTGGATCATGTTGATTAGGTTGATAATTCTCATGTTTGCCTCAACGAGTGTTGACATGATCTTTTACACACGGTAGTAAGCTTGTGAACATCTCGTAAAGCGTGTTACGCTGGCATACTGCCATATGATAACACGGCACACATGTATCTGATTTCAACGGGATTGTGCTACATTTATCTGTTATTGTTATGTTTATTCAACTGGTGCTTAACCCATTAAGAACAGACTTTTGGCAAATTATGTCAAACAGTAAAACATCGATGATTATTTTCAATCATATACAAACACAACGTAAATTACAGTGCTAGAGATAAATAGTAGAAAATGATGTATTGAAAATTTAATGCCAGTTTTATCGTTAATGGTAGAAATTAAATTCGTGAAATGTACTATTATATTGAAGATAACTGAAAATGCAGTAAATAACAGCATGCAGTGAATGGCCACGGATAGCAACAATGTTTTAGCATGTTTCTCTGACTGACAGTCATGTCGCAGGTGCGTTGACGTTGTCTATTTTGAGGAGGGTTTGTAGCACAACATCAGGACCACTCCCAAGAGAAATGTTTATTTTTCTGCCTTACAAACGGCATTCCTCTGATTTATTTATATTTCACACATCAAAGTGGACAGCAGAGTATAAGGTTTAGCGCATATCCCTTCATCTAATTGGACAGTGATGCACGTTTGGCTTATTTATTGTCTATGGTTATTAGCTACGGTCAGTGCGACGGGATTATTTGGCTAGAATATCTCAATTAATTATACTGCCGAAAGGGTGGCCGACCATAAATTCCATTGCAACAAAAACAGACATGTCATTCATGTAAAACATAAAACACTGTCTAGGCTTGCAGCTTGGTGCACCAACACTCGCTTAATCTTTACCTTTAGTACAATAATTGTAGAATATTAGTTATTTCTAATATTCAAATCGATTTCATACATATTTAATCAGAATTAAATACGTACCTATTATTTTAGAAGTAAGTTTCTTAGCCAGATGAAACACTAGAGATAATTGATATATTTCATAATCATGCGTGAAAGTGATGAAAATACTCGCGAATGTTTCAAAGCTGACTAAAAGCTATGGAGCAGGAGAACATAACTTATGAATACCAAATTCAGGGATGAGAACAGCATACCTGCCAACCTGAATATGGTATTACCGAGCCTTACATAAGGGGTACAATACCAAAAATAATACCTTAAAAATGTGCTACGAATATCGAACTAATACATATTTTTGATATTATAGAACTTTGATGCCAGAATTCCATTATTTGTTATTTAAATGGTCTTCTAATACCAATCCAATAGGGTCTCTTAGGTATTATTGTCTATACACTGAAAGATAAAGTTTAGTTATTTTAGTAATTATTTGATATTTAACAAATATTTCGATAACTGGCTAATAGCAAAACAAGGCTGTTTACCTAAACCTGGGTAGAATAAAATCTAAAGAACTCTTATTGGTAAAATATCAAAAATAATATCATGGGCCTATACAAAAATCTACAGTACGGATTCAACGAGACTTGAATCCAGATTATTGCGTGACTGTCTCGTGTGCTGACCACTCAGCTATATCTTCTTATTGAAGGAGGGAAGAAAAATGACCAAAAGTTGATTTTCAAAACTTTCATAAATAACTCAATTTGTTATCAGTGAAGAACTAAGCGGCGCCGGTGGTGTAGTGGTAAGCGTGATTACCTCTCACCCCAGCAGGCCTAGGTTCAATCCCAGTCGGCGCCACCAGGATGTTCTGAGGCATAACATCTCTGATCACGGGGGAAGGGAAGTAAACCCGTTGGTCCCGGTTCATGAGTTGATGGGTCGATAAGTAGGGTCCAGGTGTGGGAGCTGCCTCCCTGGCGTTATAGCATACAATTTAACACTAACGTAATAATATATTGATAGTAAATTTTTTCTCTTGTTTTGTTATTCCCCTCTACCCGGAAAGCATTTCAACATAAGGTATAATACCATTATCATTAAGATATTCATATGTTATCGGTTAGTTATCGGTTCTTGCTCGGGTTAAGTTAAAATATAATCTGTTCTCCGCTGTTTGCTAGTTATCGTTGTTTCATGATTATGAGGATGATGATTTATTTTATTTTATTTTATTTATTATTATACTTCCATCAATAGGATTAGGAGCCTTCGAGTTACGATCAACATTCATGCCATAGACATTATGTTGCGATATAAGTTGTATATGAATTAAACAATCTTTGACAATCATTCGAAAATCTTATTATTTCTTATTATTTATACGCAGATGCCTCTAATGATCGTCACTTAGAAACAAAAAATAGTAGGTAAACTTATATTTTGGAATCATTAATAAACATTTCATGTATTGATAGTAATTATAACCCACTTTGTTATAATTCTGATATGATGCAAAACTTCGCACATGCCACTTTTCACTAATATATCAAAATACAACACACGTTGATATAAATATCAATCATTGATATAATTGTGTTATATTTTTGTTATGCCCTTCTGATCGGGTCTGTTAGCCAATACAACCTTTCAAAGCACTGTAGTAGAAAAAAAAAATCAGAAATTGGTTCCCTTAATTATATATAGTATAGTAATTCAAAGAGAAAATCGAAGAAGAGAATCACTTTAGCCCATATGAAAGCTAGTTTTGTTATGCTAGTGAGATTTGTAATGAGTTTATGATCAATAGGATTTATTTTTTGAAAATTTCATGATTTCAATCAGCACAAGTTATTATTTCGAACCATAAAGAAACATACAGCTACTATGGTGAAGCCATCGTTGTATCTATCCAGGTTTTGTACGTCGCTATACTGACAAACACGTCCGGGTATTTGCCACTGCACTGTACTCCATGATCGTAGATTCCCAATAGTTTTTTACTGTTATGTGCTACCAGTGGTCCACCTTGATCCTTCTGCATGAAAGAGATGTATTATTGAAATAAAAATTAAAAATTATAGACAGACAATACCGAACAAGCCGCTTGGCCCGGTTGAATATGCGCACAAAAGAAGCCATTCTGTAATCCTAATACACCTTGATACTTGGCCTTGCAATCGACTGCACTCAATGTTTTCTGGTATAGTGTTTGCAACTCATTCGATTTAGCAGATGAACCGTAGTTAAGCGATCCCCAACCGTAGAATTCGGTCGTATGTCCGGTTGTTACGGTAGCATCATTCAGCGGAATACTTTTAATACGAGTTTCCGTCACTGACCTTGGAAGTTTCAATAAGGCAATGTTGTTGATTCCAGATGTTCGGTTGTACTGTGCGTGAATTATTGAATTAGATACTTCAACGCGTTCCATGTTGGTCAGTAGCCGATCTGAGCCAACGAGGACCTTCAGATTCGTTCTACCATCAACGCATGATGCTGTCGTTAAAACCCAGTTACTGCCCACTAGGGCACCGCCACAGATATGCGTGGGATTTTGTACAGAAACCATAAACGGCGCCGCATCGGGAATCGACCTGTGACCTCCCACGATGCATTCCACTATAAAACAAATCCACCAGAGAAAAACCATCATTCACTCATTGCTAACAATCCGTAGAAAATAGCAAATCTCACCGCTTGATACTCTTAACACAACGCAAACCAGCAGAACTAGACAAAATTTTTCATCCATTTTTATAGCTGTTCTGGTGGAAATCTTTTCCCTGCTTCACCGCGACGATGTGAGAACAGAACCCGTCAAAATATTTGTAGAAACTGGATATTCCACGCTTCTGCAGAGCGTTTTATAAACAGCAGCACCCGCCATTAGTTTAAGCGGTAGTGAAATAATACTTTTTTCACAAACAGTGAATCGAGTATAACCAAACACTCGAAGATACTGATAAAATGTTAAGTGGCAATGATAGAAAGCTGTATATATATATATATATATACGGAAGCACTTAACTTTTATCAAGCTAAATGTTCATGCTACATCGATAAATAAAACAATTAACGTGATTTAATGATCCGATAAAGATAGAATACCATAGCAAGACGCTTTTGATCTTAGGACGTTATAACAAAATAATATCACGAAATCAACTTGTTTCAAGTGCTCAGGAGGATGAATGAATCAGCATGACATTTGAAACAAAATTGATACACAATTTGTTAGAATTAAAATTAAAAACAACATTTTAACAAAGTTTCTAAGAATTAGCAGCAAGAAAAATGATTTTTTTTTAGCTTTCCGTTTTGGGCTAATAGGGTTAATGTTCCAAATGTCGGCCTAAGTGTCCCCTAATATTGGGTCCATAATTTAATTTCGAAGGAAAGTATTTTTTGACAACATCGATTAATTAGAAATCAAACATATCCATTCGTATTGTCCAGATGACGCATTGTTATAAGAAAAATTGAAGAGCAGGAGATTTTTACCGACAGGATCAATCTTTAAAATCATAGACCAATACTAGAGCCATTTCTAGGTAGCCAGGCTACCTCGACCCCTTTACTCATAAAAATTTAACTCCGCTACTCGATATGCTCCCTAACTCGATGGTCTCTTCAATAGTTGTTTGCAATACAAAATAATTATTAGATTGGCAGTTTGCGAGACTTTGCGTTGATGCGATATGCACAAGGGTTTCCTTAAGAAATCGTTGGTTGACGGTAGCATGACTTAGCTGGTAAACAAATTGATGTTATCTTCTACGGTGATGACCCAGATTGCTCCTTAGCTGTTACGATTAGGTAAATAAAAAAACTCCAAAACCACCAAGCCCAAATCGTGCAGTTATGATCCACGACTCAGCTACAATAAATTGATTTCGTGCAATCCTGAACTGAAAATGTTACGATGTTACGATACGGTGATCAAGAATGCACAACTAGCATTATATAATTGAAATTGTCACTGCAAGACACTTCTGATCTACAAGCTTACCTAGATTTCAACTATGTAAGGACGATTGCACAAAAAAAAAGCGTGAATCAATGATATACGCCTTCATGAACGATATCAGAAACCATGAATGATCAGTTCAGTTGTGTACTTTGAATGTTGGCGAACTAAGTTTATGTTTATGCTACTTTATAATCAGAAAGAAAAGTTTGGCGAGTGCAATGATGAGGATGATGATGATGGTCCCATCTCTTATGAAATTGGGTTGTTAGCGGAATGCTTAAATAAAACAGCAAAAAAAGGTTATCTTCCATTTAATTTCACTTCATTCATTTTGGTATCCATGACAGTTTCCAACATAACGTAGGATAAAGAGACGATGGTAATAACAGTTAGTTAGTATTCCAACCACCAAGAAATAAAGATTGTTTTTTAAACTAAATAAAGTGGCGTGTGAAGTACAAATAGAAGTATAGCAGTTGCTGGTGAAATAAAGTGCCTACTCCGTCGATGTTTCCGTATCCATTTGATGGTGACTAGTGTCCGTGTGTGATCCCGTAATATCCCGCCGGCAACCACGATCCTGCCCTAACATGACCATAGTGGGCTAAATGCGCCCTCTTCTATCTCTGCTGCTAATTAATATGAGGCAAAAAGTTGCTGCCCTACGTTAAACTTTAAACGTACTATATGAATGAAAGCAAAAAACCTTTAGAAAAAAGTAATTTGAAATTGATAAAATTAAAAACTACAAGGGACAGCCCTCTGGGGTTGGAAGCAATGGTGACGTAGGACTACGTGGTCTTATATAATAAATCTTATTTGTTAACTGCAGCAGGAGCTTGTGTTTTGTGTAGGAAAAGGAATTTGAGCAGGGTTCTCTATATTTAAACTATTTAGTATGACGTGCTTGACATAGATGGACCACAGCGACTCACGAAGAGCTACTGATTCCGATCAATAGCGGTGCAGCTTCGTCCTCTTTCTATGGATGCTCATGTGGACTGCAGCTCACTGCTTACAGGCAGCCTTTCGTTGTGTACTGGAAAACAATGTTCAACGTCAAGAGCCGAAATCACTGCTGCTGCTGCAGCTGATGCCGACGACCGGACATTACTACACACTTGCGGGGAACCTTTCGTTGTGTTCTGTAGAGCACCACCACTCACCACGCGGTGATTGAATAAACACCGTTTAGTAAGCCCAGATGGAATTCAACTTTAAAATCTGTGTGATTTTAATTATAATTGCAACAGTTGCACATTCGTGTAATTTTCAATAGTGATATTTTGAAAAATGGTAAAGTAACATTTAACAGTTGCGTAGAAATATATCTGATCGATTGGTGATAAAATTATTGAAATTGGTCCAGGTGTAGCTGAGTTATTAACGTTCAAAATCTTTCATAATATTGTTACATGTTCCATTTTTGGTTTTCACAAAGTGTACCCCCATATAGAAATCACAGACGTAGTCCTACGTCAAAAACAATTCTGGCACAAAAACATGCAAAAATAGTAATTTCTTGAAACTGTTAGTTTCTCTGAATATTGTCAAAATTAAAGATTTGATTGATGCAAGGTGTTAGATACATTCTCCATATTTTGTTTTAGTAGGTCTATCGCATTTTTATTCGAAAAATAATAGCTATTTCCAACGTTACAATTTATTGCTCCAAGTGGCGTATAATGCTATCCTTGAATTGTAGTGTGGTTAGTATAGCCATCAGGCGTGAACCTTTGATATTCAATAGAGAGAGCAAAGATAGAGCCTAAATGTATGCTTACGGCGCATGAAATCAGTATGCAATTTTGCCCCTCTGTGTTTTGTAAACAGATTTTAAACAGAGACCTTCCTTAGCATGGGCATTTTACCCTCATCTCCCCTTTAAACTAATATAATTTATTTAAAAAAAACACACAGTGAATGGAGCACACGTGGTGACTGGGTACTTGACGGCATTGCAAAACCATTCATATCAATCAATAATTATTTGACTTACCTTCTGAGTAGACGGACATGTTCGGTAATTATGTTAGAACTCATATATCAAACCGGAAATCGAACACAGCTGCCTCCAGCATGGTCTTGCTGTATAGCCAACTGAGCTAAGGGAGTTTCCTGCTAATAAAACATTAATTTATTTCCTTTATTTAGGAGATTTTCAGCCGCAGGAAAAATATTAAAATAACATAAATTAGATGTTTTTACATAAAAAGTTTTGTAAAAGCGTCTACTTCTATGACAAAAATCTAGCAAAAGAGAAAGTTGCATTTTTCTTAGGATACAATTATGGCGTGTTTCATTTCATCTTTTCCCATACAGTGGGGTAAGTTGAAACACACAGATAAAAATTCTGAATTTTAATTGTGATGTAGACTTGTATTTCATTTCACGCAACCGAGCAACTTGCAAACAATGTTGTTTACAAATATGGGCTTCTGTATACAGTATTTGCTACATTGCATGAAATGTGTCAGAACTTTACATGACATATAATGTAAACGTATATGATATGTGACGTTCCATTTATGTGCATCATATTGAACAAAAATTTACACTACTTTTTCGAACTGTGCATATATTACAGCAGTTTTTCGATAAAAATAATCATTTATTTTCTCCTAAAGCAGCTCTTCATTTATGCTGAGCTCGATGGATCAAAGTATACGCAGCAACCATACAACCTCACGTTTTCACCAAGAGCGGCAGCAGATTTGATGAAGGCCTACCATGACGAACAGGAATTGCAGGATAAGCAAGTTTAGGTGTTAAATAGGGTTTGTGGGTAAACCATCAGTTCAGTCTTAGTCAGTTCAGTAGTGAGTGTTCATCTAATCTTATAGTCAATAAATTAACAGTGAGTACATGTAATAATTAAGAAATAAAATTGTTTTCTTTAAGATGTGATCCCTTTAAATTGATGTATGTATTACATAACCTTTCGTGGACTATTCAACCCATTGCAGGAATACATATTTCCCTCGAAATCACGGTAAAAAACATCCATGAAATCTCAATAAAGTGACAATAAAATGCAATACATTCTAATGTTGTCAATTGACCCTATTATAAATGTATGTTATTGGTCAAGTTATCACATTGTTCCCACAATAGCTTTGCAATACATTCTGTGTTATATAATCGTATAGAGCTTTTTAACAACCAGTTTTAGCTGAAGAATAGCTTATGACAACTTATTCAAATGGTATTGCCTTTTGCTGTTAAATACAAGTTTTTAGTTGGTTTTCAATAGGATACCTCAATTTACCTCTTCTTTTATAAAAAAAAACAAAAGTTTATATTGTCTTATACTATGCATTTTTTACGGACACTTACCGCTACTTCTTCTTTCAAATTTGAGTTGGTTGAATCAGCGCGGAGAATTGGCAAATCAAAGTTGGCGCTCGTGGAGAATAGAAGAACTATAAAAATGATGATGGTTTCAAAATTTTCCACGGGGAAGTATACGAGTGCAATCTTAAAATGCTTTTATTTTGCAAATGGAACATTTTATTTAAATCTGGTTGCTGCTACAGTGGTAGAAAAGCTCAAATCTATGTGTGCACCTAAAAATCTGAAAAGAAATTAATTTTTCTATATTATTTGTCTATTGAGTAGTCCTTAAGTTTTCTACTAACATAGCACCAACCAGATTTAAATAAAATGCTCCATTTGCAAAATAAAAGCATTTTAAGATTGCACTCGTATACCTCACGGTGTAAAATTTTGAAACCATCATCACTCTCATAGTTCTTCTATTCTCCACGAGTACCAACTTTGATTTGCCAATTATGATGAGCATATAGTGAGCATACATCACTGTGATGTATTGGTAAAGTAGAACACTAACGATAGTATTGCTACCTATCTTCAAATAGTGAAAGCTG